GGGGGGGGGGGGGGAGCCAACGGTGAAGATGAATCACTGAGACACAGGGGCCAAGTGTATGTTCTTTCTAGAAAATAAACTCGGGTGAAAAGCGATGAGCTTGTGGTGCAGAGGCGGCGGAGTTCGCTTCTGGCTGGGGAAGGGTCGGAAGGCCGCGTGCAGAGGGGGGTGGGACTAGGCCTGGGAAGGGCGGGTGGTTTGGGGGAGCAGGACCAAGACTGCAGCAGGCCCCTGCGTGGGTGCACTGGCCCTGCTGCCCAAACAGGCCCTTCCCTGCTTTTCTCCTCCCAGGCCTCCCCACTGATTCAGACTGTGCCCAGGTATTCTGGCTCTTTCTCTGGACACTCCCTTTCTCTGGGGTTACTCTCTCTTGTCATGGGTCACAGTTGCCACCCTGCCATGTACACGGTCACATTCTCTCCTCCCCGCCGCCCTCACCAGACACCAGCATCAGGGACAGCGCCCCCCTCCCAGCTCAGAGCCTTAATCCACCCCGAGATGATATTACAGGGCTATTCTTCATCGAGAGCTGAGTTCAGAGTGTTCCCAAAGTTATCAGACAATGGGCCCAAAAATAGATCGGAAGGTCAGAATTCCTCAGGTCTCCGGGGAAGCTCAGTGCCCCCGGGGAGCCGCTTCATGTTGGCTGGGGTGTCCTTACCGGCCATAACCACCTTCCTCTGGACACCCAGAAAAATCTATTTTTCTCCTTTCAAAACATTGGCAGGAAGAATTTCCTGCCTTGCGAGCCTGCCCGGTGGTAAATTCGTATTTCCTGGACATGTATAGCGTCACACAATGTCCTCCCTGGCTGTTTTCCAACTTTCCCATCAGGGTTTGCCCCTCTCTGATCCCACCGGGAGCCTTCGTTTGCCATGTGAGCAAACCTTCCCCTGGGAGGGCCCGTTCCCGGCTGGGGGTACCTGTGCCACCAGGGCTCTCACGCCCCACTCTGCCGTCTTGCGCAGCTCTCCTGCCTCGGCGTGACTGAAGACTCTCTGCACCTAACTGCAAACCTGCACTATTTGGGAAAGAAGCAGTGGAAGAAATGGGTGCATCAGCGAGCGTTTGTGGCGCTGTACATCGCCTCGCACAGGGGCCATGCCGACGTGGTGCAGTACCTTCTAGAACATGGTAATTCTGAGAGAGCTGAGCGCGCAAGAGCTGGAGTCCTTTGTGAGCAGGGAGAACAGCGCGGCTTGTCTTCCTGGTCCCTTCAGCAGTGGTCTCTGGGCCCAAGTCTTGCCAACCACCCGTCATGGTCCCTGTCCGAGGTGTCCCAGGACATGCTAACCAGAGGCTGCGTCCCCACTCTTGGCCAGGTCTCAAGGAAACTCTTCCTGCTCTGGGGGGATGGAACTTCGGGGAGAGCCACCGAAAGGGCTTCTGGCTCCCATGTCCAGCCAGACACACTGGGACGGTCCCCAGACTGCCTGCATGATTTCCACCCCAGTTGAGGTGGTGGTTCTGCCACGCACCACGGGGCTCGCCCCCAAGCTGGCACCATTCTCTTGGTGGTCGGCAGGTTCTGCAGGAGTATACTTTACCTTCCATGGATGTAGCCTATTTTTGAGAAAAGAGGCCCACAGATTGCGGTGTAGACCGTTCAGGAACAATAGACAATAGTTGCGACCAGGCCAGGCCACTGCTTCCTCTGGAAAAGGAAGGATGTGTGACAGGCAGGGTCTTTGGCCAGTGGTTGGAAACTTAGAAGGGGGCCTTATCCAAGGGTCTCCCCTGTCAACTCACCTCCAAATAGGACCCCTTTCTTTCCTGCCAGTGGCCTTGACCCCAGCCTCCCCGGCTCAATCTTTGCTCCCCCCCACTTTCAGCAAGCACGGTAGGGGGAGTGTCTCAGACGCGGGCGGGATGACCGGGCTGAGCGTCCACGGCGGACAGAGCTTTTCTGGACTATATGCCCCTCCTGCCTCCCTGCCTTCTGCACTCCGCCTGTTGTGAGATGAAATATGGGCCTTTCACAGCCAGCAGTCCTTTAAGCTCATAAAAAGTCATTTTTACTCTGATGGAACTGTGATGTATTTGAAAGCACCAGTTAAAAAAATTACACACAGCTTCACGAAGTTTTCTGTCCTTCGCAGACAGGTGTCGTGAAGAGGTGTCTTGGCCAAGGCTGGGCATTAAGAGAACCTATTTAATGAACCCTTTACCTCTCTGACCAGCCATTGCTCATCGAAACGGGCTCCCCAAATGTCAGCTGCATGGAATTAAATTGCCTTGTCTTCTGTGTCGTGACATTTGTTACCCAGAATTTGATTCCATTCAACAAGTCCATATTGGACACCTGTCATTAGTCCATCCACCTGCGGGAGGCGGTGAGGGATGCGATCGAAGTCGTCTGTCCATGAGTCAGGCTGCCCGTCGCCTGTCATATCCCGGGCGCCTGTCGTCCCCAGGCATTGCCCTACGTGCCGGGGAGGAAAGCGGCAGTGAGCAAAGCAACTGTGTTTTCTGCCCTCGTGGAGTTTATGAAGGGAAGTCAGCAAATGATTACAAGTAATTAATTCCATGGTCGGTTGTGCACAGCATGTTCTGAAGACGCAGAAGGCCTGCTGAACTTATAGAGAGGAGTTCATGGGGGGGG